GCCGCACCCCAATCCCTGCACTCCCTGTGACAGCAGGTCATTGATTTTCTCCCTGTACCTGCTGTTTCTAGGGTGGAACATGTAACATGTTCCCAAACTTATCCTTTAAATCAAGCAGCATTTGATGACCTTTAATATAATGGGAAAACTGCCAAAATACCATTTCATTGTATGTGGCAAACTATTGGCCAAGAAATTAGACATCCTTAGCTGTTCCCATTGTTTTGGAGGAGCTCTTATCAAACACTGGACCCAAACCTAATTGTAGTTCTGCCAATAAAAAATCAACAAACAGCCTGACCTTTTGACAGCCTGACCTTTTGACAGGTTTAACCTATGGTAATTATGGTCCTACACTTTTGGAACTCAATTAAAAAAGGGTTATGAACAAGTGGGAATGGATACCAATCTTTTCAAGATTAAAGGCCAGCAGCACAAGCTGAAAAGGGGATTTTGCCAAGGGAAAACACTAGAGGCCACGCTACAACAGAGAGAAAGAATGCCAAGACCAAATGCCCATTTTCCTGCAATCGTTTGAAATGCCTGGAGTCCTGTTTGCTATGGAAATACCAGCTATATTAGAAGCTAAGTGGCTAACTAACTTTTAGTTTATTCCTATTGCATACAGATTAGTGCATTTGATATGAAGAAATAGGCAGCATGTGTATGTCTGCATATTTGTTGCACTCTGCATGTATTGTATTGTATTCCTGTAACTGTAAAGAGTTTGTATAGGCAGTATTCTTGTTTACTAAAGACACATTAACATGCCGTACCACTGGGTCATTTTCTTGTCTTTACTGCAAGAATTAGACACAGCAAGAATTAGCAAAGCACTTGATCTGATTATGGCCATACTCGTAACAATATGATATTCAATATAACAACTGTTTCACTTAAATTGTACCATTGAGAAGCTGACTGCAATAAATAGTTGAACTGAACAATTAGCATCAACTTTAAAATTCTTTAAAACAGACCCCCGTCTCCCGACACAAAACTTTTCCTTCTACACCTAATCTCTGCTGGCTTTGTACTAAAGCTGTCGGTACCAGGGGCAGGCTGACAACTCATGGGGCCCCCAAGCAATAGGGGATCATGGGGCCCCTGTGTCCTTGCCCAAACTCAAAAAAGCCTATGAAAAAAGGAACCAGGGGCATCTCATGGGGCCCCCTACTGACCCCGGGCCCTCGGGCAGTGTCGGAGTTTCCAAATGGTCAGTCCTCCCCTGGTCGGTACACAGCTCCATATTTGGTGGGATTGTGACCAAATACAACCCTTCTGGCACCAAGTTTTGGATGTATATAAAAGGATCTATGGTGAGTCCTTGGCCCCTTCGCTAGCGATTGCTCTCCTTTCCATATTACAGGGCTCACTGGTAGCACAGAAGAAAAGTATGTTGTGTTTTGCTACCTGCGGCCCGCCAATTCATACCCCTCTTTTGGAAAATGGCCACCACCCCCTCCTCTCCCAATGTGTGTTTCTGTGCTTAATGATATCATGCGTATGGAAGAAATGCTAGTGTTTGCCAATGATACCTATGATAAACACAAGTTGCTGTGGTCAATCTGGCTCCATTTCTCCTCCTCTTTGACTCTTCAAGATATGTGTTCCCCTGTCGTGCCCTAATGGAGTTGAGCCTTGCTACCCCGATTCATTTTGAAATGTCCGCTGGTTAGGCCTCACGGCTCGCGCCTGGGTACAGTGGGGTCCTGGTAGGAGGCCTCTTTGACCCTGCTTTTGCCGTTCCCGTCTCCCAACCCTCTCTCTTCTTTCCCTTTATTATTTCTACAACTAACTTCTCTCTTTTCTTTTTATACTTTATCTTTTTTCTTACTTTGGGTTATACAATTAGTTATACAGAGTTATTTCATTTGTTTCAGTCCCACCTGGGAATTCCCCCCCTTGAAACCATGTTTTTTCATTTCTCCGTAATATATGTTGTTGATCCTTTCAGCTTCCTGTTGCATGGAATCACTTTTTCACCCACCCACATAGATCATCTCCACATCTGTGATGTTCATTTATTTGCACACTTTATCATTATTTCTAATGTTTTGTTAAATTTGATACGAAAATATAATAAAGACAAATTTGCCTTTAAAATTCTTTAAAACAGTCAGAACTATGATCAATTAATCAATTTATTTTTTACAGGTCAGCATAGGAATACAAAAACTATCAATTTACTCCAGGTAGTTTTCCATTCGTGGTTCATTTTGCAGTCATTTAAAATCCTGCATTAAGAATGTTGAGGATTTCTTCTATCATATAAAAAGTTTTCTTTTGTGTAGAAATGCTTGCAATATACCGTACATTCAATTCCATTCTTCCTTTTGAGACCACTGTTGTGTGAAAGTAAGCAATGCTTCACCTTCCCGAAAACAAATTTTGAGCGGATTGCCATATCTCAATAGAGACATGAAAAACACACATTTTTTTTCTATTATGTGAAAGAGCTTGTAATAGTTATGCCTGTAAACCCCACACATGTACTGGATTTGACATTTATGTGATGTAGCTCTGCAGCTTACTGCTGTGTGTTCCTATTGGAGGCAACAAAAGTAGTTGTTGGTTTCCTTTTATAGCATTACTGTACACAAAAGCTACATTTTTGTTAAAAGAAGACAAGCCTGTTATGCTGCCTTAGTTTGATTTTTTTTTTTTTCTGTATCAACATCCTTTTACATACATAGCCAAGAATGTTATTAAAATGTTTTACATAAGTTAAATGATAAAAACTAGAACATCCATCTAGGCACAGAAAGAAATGTAGTGAAATATTCCAGTATTTGACATATGGGGGGACAACAAACAGAACAGTGGCTGGGTATAGACTATATAATAAAGCAGCATGAGCATAGAAAATACAGCATGTATATTTTAAGTGGCACAGTATGGATTGTATAATATACAGAGTGTTGTAGTATTGGGTATATTTGTAGTGCATGTTGTACAGTACAGATTGTAGTGGTGTGGAATATTTCATTTACAATGTATAGAGTGGTGCAGTGTGCAGTGTACAAAGTACAGCAATGTGCACCAGAGCAGCTGCTGCCCCAGCTCTTTGCCTTCCCATTGGCTTGAGACAACAGTAGGAGCCACTGGCTCCTGCTGCTGTCAATCACATCCAGTGAGGGGGAGGGCATGTCTATGGACGCAGCCAGCATGGCTCGCAAGCGGCTTGCTGGGGGGTACTCATATGACAGAGGAGCCAGGAGCACTGGCAGGGGACCCAAGAAGTAGAGGAATGGAGCTTCATTCTGCAAAACCATTGCACTGAGCAGGTGAGTATACAGTTGTGTCCAAAATTATTCAACCCCCACTGAAATTGAGTGTTTTGGCCAGTTTGACATTGCTTTTGATCATTCAGTCATCTTGCTTACATTTACATTAAAGAGGCACTTGTAGGTCAGACAAATATAACATAACAGTTTATAATGATGAAATAACCACAAATGTCTTTTCTGTGCTCACAGCATTATCAGTTTTATTCAACCCCCAAGTGACATTCAATCTTAGTACTTAGTACAGCATCCTTTTACAGTTATAACAGCTTTTAAACGTGAAGCATAGCTTGACACAAGTGTCTTGCAGCGATCTACGGGTATCTTCGCCCATTCTTCATGGCAAAGGCCTCCAGTTCAGTCACATTCTTAGGCTTGCGCACTGCAACTGCTTTCTTTAAGTCCCACCAGAGGTTCTCAATCGGATTTAAGTCTGGTGACTGCGATGGCCACTCCAAAATGTTCCAGCCTTTCCTCTGCAACCATGCTCTAGTGGACTTGGAGGTATGCTTGGGATCATTGTCCTGTTGAAAGGTCCAACGTCTCCCAAGCCTCAGGGTGTGTGACGGACTGCATCACGTTTCCATCCAATATCTCCTGGTACTGAAGAGAATTCATGGTACCTTGCACACGCTGAAGCTTCCCTGTACCTGCAGAAGCAAAACAGCCCAAAGCATGATTGACCCTCCACCATGCTTCACAGTAGGCAAGGTGTTCTTTTCATCATAGGCCTTGTTCTTCCTCCTCCAAACATAGCGTTGATCCATGGGCCCAAACAGTTCTAATTTTGTTTCATCAGTCCACAGAACACTATCCCACAACTTTTGTGGTTTGTCCACATGGCTTTTGGCATACTGCAGTCGACTCTTCTTATTCTTTGGAGACAGCAAGGGGGTACGCCTGGGAGTTCTGGCACGGAGGCCTTCATTACGCAGTGTGCGTCTTATTGTCTGGGCTGAAACTTCTGTACCCACATCTGACAAATCTTTTCTCAGTTCCTCAGCAGTCACACGGGGACTTCTCTCCACTCTACGCTTCAGGTAGCGCACAGCAGTCGAAGTCAGCATCTTCTTTCTGCCACGACCAGGTAGCGTTTCAACAGTGCCCTTTGCCTTGAATTTGCGAATGATGCTTCCTAAGGTGTCTCTTGGTATGTTTAACATCTTTGCAATCTTCTTATAGCCATTGCCCTTCCTGTGAAGAGAAATCACCTCTTCTCTTGTCTTCCTGGACCATTCTCTTGCCTTCACCATGTTTGTAACCACACCAGTAAATGTCTAGAAGGAGCTGAGTATCACAGTCATTTTAAAGCTGCCTAATTGGTGCTTATTATGCTTGATTGCTGCTCGGTGACATCCACAGGTGTTTTCAATACCTGATGGAAAGCACCTGTATGAACCTCTGTTCTTCAGAGTGGTAGTCTTTAAGGGGTTGAATAATTGTGGCAATGAAGAAACCACATAAGAACCATTTACTACTGTATTACATAAACAATTGATGTCATTTTAGTTGCATTTGGGTAGTTACAACGTCCTTGTAGGATTTGATTCTGAATACAATTCCAAATGTACACTATAGTCCCTAAACCCCTTTACAGCATTGGGGGGTTGAATAATTTTGGACACAACTGTAACATGTTTGTTTTTTTTAAATGAGCCTTTAGTATCACTAATGACAAATTGAGAATGATTTTTTTTCTCAATTTAAAAAAACTGTGTCCAATCAAATTTTGCACATTTACATCACTGAAGCAAAGAGCAAATATTGCTGCCTCCATACAAAGAAACTACACTATATTGCCAAAAGTATTGGGACAGCCCTCCAAATCATTGGATTTAGGTGTTCCAATCACCTCCATGGCCACAGGTATATAAAATCAAGCACCTAAGAATGCAGACTGCTTCTACAAATATTTATGAAAGAATGGGTCGCTCTCAGGAGCTCAGTGAATTCAAGCATTGTACCGTGATAGGTTGCCACCTGTGCAATAAGTCCATCTGTGAAATTTCCTTGCTACTAAATATTCCACGGCCGACTGTTAGTGGTATTATAACAAAGTGGAAGCAACTGGGAACAACAGCAACCTGCCTGACTGCATTGTGCCAAGTGCAAAGTTTGGTAAAGGGGGGATTATGGTGTGGGATTGTTTTTCAGGGGTTCAGCTTGGCCCTTAGTTCCAGTGAAGGGAACTCTTAGTATACGAAGACATTTTGGACAATTCCAGGCTCCCAACATGTGGGAACAGTTTGGGGATGTCCCCTTCCTGTTCCAACATGACTGCACACCAATGCACAAAGCAAGGTTCATAAAGACATGGATGAGCGAGTTTGGAGTGGAGGAACTTGACTGGCCTGCACAGAGTCCTGATCTCAACCCGATAGAACACCTGGGATGAATTAAAATGGAGACTGTGAGCCAGGTCTTCTAATCTGACATCAGTGCCTGATCTCAAAAATGTGCTTCTGGAAGAATGGTGAAACATTCCCATAGACACACTCCTAAACCTTGTGGACAGCCTTCCCAGAAGAGTTGAAGCTGTTATAGCTGTAAAGGGTGGGCCAACTCAATATTGAACACTACTGACTAAGACTGGGATGCCATTAAAGTTCATGTGTGTGTAAAGGCAGGCGTCCCAATCAGGGGCGGACTGACCATTTGGAAACTCGGGCACTGCCCGAGGGCCCGGGGTCAGTAGGGGCCCCATGAGATACCCTGGTACCTTTTTCATAGGCTTTTTTTGAGTTTGGGCAAGGACACAGGGGCCCCATGATTCCCTATTGCCTGTGGGCCCCATGAGTCGCCAGTCCGCCCCTGGTCCCAATACTTTTGGCAATATAGTGTATTTATACTGAAGCAATGTACCCCAGCTGATGGTAGTACAAATACTTCAGATGACAAACCAAAATATATATACAGTATGTGCTCAGTGTTCATAACAGTTCAAGCTCCACTCTGTGCAAAACAAGTGCTGATAGTGAGAACAACTCCCAGGCTGGATGGATCTAAGCAGAGGAAAAATCCTACAGATAGAAGTAACACACCGCACTCACCGGATTATATTGACCGTTTATTTTACTAAGCAAGTCAACAACAGCTCTCTATACATCCACATCTTCTCTGCAGCTCTCCTCATCTCTAAATAGCTTCCTGTCAAGGTCCTACCTTTCTTCAGAGCTTGTGCATCTCCATGAGCTGGCCTCCATCTTGGTTTTCTGCAAAGCATGGTGGGAACCTTTATGCCTTCCGGCTTCTGCGGCTCCTCCTCAGAAGGGTGTGGTTGAGCACATTTAAACCTGCTGTCTGCAAGTGTGCTCTGCACTTGTGTCCTGTATGTTGCCCTGTTGCAAGCTCTTGTGTTGTTCCCATTGCTCTCCTGGTAACCGACTCGGCTTGGACAAGACTACTCTCTGCGTTAACCCTTTATCTGACCTCCCGTTGTTGAACCCGGCCCGTGACCTGAGTCTTCTTTGCCTACCGTCTAGTACTGTCTGCTCCATTGTTATTGACCCGGCTTGTCTGACTACTCTACTCGTGATCCCATCTAGCTCCCACCAGCTGTACGCCATTGGCGGCAGTCGTTATCGCAGCTGGGGTCACTCGGGGGCCGCGACCTGGTCTCAGGCTGCGTCAAGTCCATCCCCACCATCAGGGGCCCTGGTGAAGGGTAGCCTGGGGCTTAGACTCCGCGCCCTGAGGGACTCTGGTCTGTGGGTAGTGGCTGTCGTCAGTCGCAGCGTGACCGTACCATAGGCCTGCCTGCCCATTCCATCGTTCCTGCCCTGACATTTCCACAACTTCCACACTGGTAGTATCCGACCATATTCTCAACAAGTGGTAAGAATTGGGGAAGAAAAGAGGGCTCCATAAAAGTTACAATTACACAATAAACCAGGCATGTCAAACTGGCGACCCTCCAGCTGTTGCCAAACTACAAGTCCCATGAGGCATTGCAAGACTGACAGTTAAAAGCATGACTCCCAAGACAGAGGCATGATGGGGACTTGTAGTTTCACAACAGCTGGAGGGCAGCTAGTTTGACACTGTTGCAATAAACAGTATCAATAGCCTTGTAAACAACAACCAAAAGATGGCCACCATAGCTTTTCAACAGGAACTGGATATGATGTCACCGGAAGTTACTGCCCAACGTATTTCATCATAAAAATGTGATGTCCTCAGGATTAGTATCAGTGATACTATAAATGTTGCAGTACCCTTCTAAATAGGTATCTAAAACCAAAAATCACACAGCCACCATTGGGGGGGACAAACCATACAAATGTAGGGGGCCCAGGCGATCCGAGGGGCCCAGCAGGCAAGGAGATGGCAGGGGCAGGTGCAGGAAAGCTGTGTGGTGCACTACAGAAGAGAAGTCAGCAGCTGCTTCTCTGTGTCATGGAGCTCTCACATCAAGCTCATTACTAACAACTCTGGCTACTTCCTGCATGTGCACGCCTCGTGTGTGCTGCTGCTTGTACCATATTGTGGACTCTGGTCGCTTGCAGGTCCTTTCTGTGTCTCAGTGACCTGGGACTAGGAAGACTTCCTTTACAAGTATGGGCTGTGTGTACAAATGAACAGAGGGGGCTGTTTGTGTACTGAGGGGGCTGGAGCTGTGTGTGTGTTTACAGATGTGTGTACAGGTGTGTGGGGGGGTATGAGTGCTACAGATGTGGGGAGGCTGTGTGCGTACAGGTGTGAGGAGGGATGAGTGCGTACAGGTGTGGGGGGGCTGAGTGCGTACAGGTGTGTGGGGGGCTGAGTGCGTACAGGTGTGAGGGGGGGCTGAGTGCGTACAGGTGTGAGGGGGGTTGAGTGCGTACAGGTGTGAGGGGGGTTGAGTGCGTACAGGTGTGAGGGGGGGGTTGAGTGTGTACAGGTGAGGGGGGGCTGAGTGTGTACAGGGTGTGAGGGGGGGCTGAGTGCGAACAGGTGTGAGGGGGGGTTGAGTGCGTACAGGTGTGAGGGGGGATGAGTGTGTACAGGTGTGAGGGGGGGTTGAGTGTGCACAGGTGTGAGGGGGGGGATGAGTGTGTACAGGTGTGAGGGGGGGTTGAGTGTGTACAGGTGTGAGGGGGGGGATGAGTGTGTACAGGTGTGAGGGGGGGATGAGTGCATACAGGTGTGAGGGGGGATGAGTGTGTACAGGTGTGGGGGGAATGAGTGCATACAGGTGTGAGGGTGGATGAGTGCATACAGGTGTGAGGAGAGCTGAGTGCATACAGGTGTGAGGGGGGCTGAGTGTGTACAGGTTTGGGGGGCTGAGTGTGTACAAATGTGAGGGGGGCTGAGTGTGTACAGGTTTGGGGGCTGAGTGTGTACAAATGTGAGGGGGGCTGAGTGTGTACAGGTGTGAGGGGAGCCGAGTGTGTACAGGTGTGAGGGGGGCTGAGTGTGTACAGGTTTGGGGGCTGAGTGTGTACAAATGTGAGGGGGGCTGAGTGTGTACAGGTGTGAGGGGAGCTGAGTGCGTACAGGTGTGAGGGGGGCTGAGTGTGTACAGGTTTGGGGGGCTGAGTGTGTACAGGTGTGAGGAGAGCTGAGTGCATACAGGTGTGAGGGGGGCTGAGTGCGTACAGGTTTGGGGGGCTGAGTGTGTACAGGTTTGGGGCTGAGTGTGTACAAATGTGAGGGGGGCTGGGTGCATACAGGTGTGAGGGGAGCTGAGAGACGAAGTTGTTGCTGCTGTAGTAACTAGCAATTGCTAAAGCAGGGTGACAGTGGAGTGAGCTAAAGCAGCTCACATAGTTCCAGCTGCAGGGGAAAGGCGGAGTGATATCATCTGCACTCCAGTTCTCCCTGCAGACTGGATGCTCATTTATGCACCATGCCAGGCGCAGCTCATCCGCATGGAAGAGCTACACTGCATGTGACTTACAGGACTGCTCAGTGCTCACTGTGGACTGGTTTGGAGACAAGATATTAGACATCACAAAGGTAAATTGATTGACAATGTTGCTGGATATGAGCCTGTGCTGTGACTGTTTGTTGGATTGGGCTGTTTGTGACTGTCTTTGTTGCATTGGGCTGTCTCTTTGCTATGTGAGGATGTCTCTCAGCTGGATTGGACCGTCTCTTTGATAAATATATGGGGATATCTCTTTGCTGGGTGGGGATGTCTCTTTGCTGGATTGAGCTGTCTCTTTATTATATGGGTCTGTCTCTTTGCTGGATTGGGTTGTCTCTTTGCTGAATATTTGGGGATGTCTCTGTGGGATTGGGATGTCTCTTTGCTTGATTGGACTGTCTCTTTGCTGAACATATTTGCTTTTTTGTTTTGGAGGGTTTTTTTCCTTAGATCTGTTGGGGGGGGGGGGGGCATTGAAAAAGTAGTGAAGTTAGTGTTAGTGTAGGGTCCTGCTCAAAATAGTCTACCTTGTCGTGGTGGCAGGCTTCATATTTTTTGGCTAAAATATAATTCCTTACTGTTAAATAATGAAAGCACTGATGACTTTGAATACACTTTTCATTTTCATATATTAAGTTGTAAGAAATAAAAGTGGGTGTACTGAGGGACTTGGTGGAGTAGCCAGTGGGCAGATCCAGGGAGACGCCCCGGGGAATGTTAGTGGTAAGGCCAGGGGACCAAGCCTAAAGCTGTGTAAGGGGCCCAAAAATTTCTGATGGCTGCCCTAAATCTTACAATATAGTGCACTGTGATAATCCACACAAACCACCAGCGACATTAATATTTCCATGAAATAAACAAAATCATGATTTACAAGCCTAAAAGTCCAAATCCAATGTGTATTTAATGCAAACACAAACTGTGTCATAATTCTGGGAACGTGTCCACTTCAGTGATCCACCATCAAGACATGTTCAGGCTACTTACCAAACTCATATGAACCCTATGTACTGAGGTCATAAGTCCTTACAAATCTTATAAACCATGCCAGCAAGGTTAGCAAGACACTTCCACAGCACTCCACCGTGGACCATAAGCCACACAAGCAGATGAGTGTTTGAGGAATAAAAATCAGCACAGTTTGATCCCACGGATGTGATGACATCAGTCCTGCCCAACACATTACCTGCCCAACACATTTTGTCACAGATAAAATCATCAGGGGCTGGGGCTTGAGTTTTTGCACTGAGTGTAGGGCTTAATATGATAACATTTATACATCAAGCTGATATTTTTTATATGTACTGTAAATCTATAATAGAATTGAAAACACTGCACACTCCCTTAAAATAGTTGGTTTGTTTACAGTGGTACTAAAGACTCATTCACACATGTGGCCAGAGCGCAGTAAAACTAGGTGGTTGAGCATTGGTTTTACCAAAACCTCTCTCCTGACTGATCGCCTGAACACTGTCCATGCAGCTGCTACCTAAGAAGAAGCAACAGTGTCATTCTTGGACTGCAACACTGCCTAGAGAGGAGTAGATTCAGATGGACTAGTAGAGTCAGAGTAGAGTCAGAGCAGAGTCAAATGGACTAGTAGAGTCAGAGTAGAGTCAAAGTAGAGTCAGAGCAGAGTCAAATGGACTAGTAGAGTCAGAGTAGAGTCAAATGGTAGAGTCAGAGCAAAGTCAAATGGACTAGTAGAGTCAGAGTAGAGAGTCAGAGCAGAGTCAAATGGACTAGTAGAGTCAGAGTAGAGTCAAAGTGAGTCAGAGCTAGTAAGTCAGAGTAAATCAGAGCAGAGACTGGACTAGTAGAGTCAGAGTAGTCAAAGTAGAGTCAGAGCAGAGTCAAATGGACTAGTAGAGTCAGAGTAGAGTCAAAGTAGAGTCAGAAGGACTGGTAGATTTACTACAGCAAACATTTTCTGTGCTTGGGAGCCAGGGGGACAGGTTCCTAAACATGTGACAACTGTGACAGCCAATCACATGATCAGGAAATCAGTCCCACCTTCTGGCATTAATAACCAGTTAAAGGCCCACTGGTTTGTCAGGAATGGGTTAACAATGGGAAAAAATGAATATGCAAATTGACATACTGACCAAAGCGGGAAGCAAGTATTCTATTTTGCTTCCAAAAAAATATTTTTGGAAATAAAATCACAATGTGGTCTAGGGGCTAGACTAATCATGAAGACATATTATGCTGATGTACAGGGCCGCTTCTTTCACTAGGCAAACTAGGCAGCCGCCTAGGGTGCACTGCCACCTAGAGGCACCTGGAGCAGCACAGGCCAGCTCTCTCTCTGTGTGGGATGCCACCACATCATGAATGATCCTTCAGCTGAGGGGAGGGGTGGCAGAGGGGAGGAAGAAAGGACAGAGGAAGATGCTGGGTGTCTGGGGCCAATGTAACATCTGATCTGCCACTCCTTCCAGTATTCCTCTCAGACTCAGTCCCTTACTGCAAGCCGGCTGGTGGCTGCTGATCACTGTAGAGTTCCAGCCCTTCTCTTCCCATTCATCAGCAGATGCAGAGCTGCGCCTGCGGAGCAAGGTAATGTCTAACTCTGATGTCTAAGTGAGTGTGACCTGGCCGACCATCCATCACATGTGCAATGAGTCAGTGAGTAATGACATCATCACTATCCCAAAGCCTGCTCTTTTAGTGCCTGCTCGGCCTGCTCATCTGTGTCAGTGTTGTTGGTGGTGTGTTGTGTTAAATCTGTCACTGTGCAGGATCGCTCAGTTCAGGTGGTGTGTCTGTGTGTGCGAGCGTGCGGGTTGGGCTGCCTACTGCCTTAGCATTTTATCTCTCCCCATTGCCTGGGGAATTCCAGCCTGGGATCTGTCAGAGTGTGGATCCATCATCTTCCACTCACTGCAACTGTCACCCTGCCATTGCCAGCCACAGATACAGTCAGTCTGTGACCCTGATTTTGTCTTTAATATTGGTGCTGGTGCCATCTTATGGCACTTACTTTTGCAAATTAAAAGAAATTTAGCAGTTTAATGTTTTGTCGTTTAAATATTTTCTACTGTTTTTAAAAATGTTTTTTATTTTTTGGTGGGGAGGTGGCGCAAGTAGCTGGATGAGCAAAATTAGTCTAGCACCAGCCCTGCTGATGTAGTTATATAATGTGTACATTAATCAACTCATTTTTATTAGGTTAAATAATTCAACCCTTTTCAAGATTTCTCCTTTCAGATTAGCAGCAGCAAAGGATTGTCTTCTTACATGCACGCCACAAAGCAACTTTAATAAGCAATTTTTCACACAGCCATATGACTTTAATATCAACTCTATTCAATACAACTTCCCCAGGAGGCAGATATTAGCAGATATCAGTCAGATATTAAAACGGCAGCATAGGAATATTCCTGCTCTGGGGGCCAGTGGCTAACAACAGACACACGGTAAAACAACAATATTATGGACCTCGGTGGTTAAATGGATATTATTAAAATGACTATAAAGTTCAGAAACTGCTTTAGAGAAAACAAAAGTTTTGACAAGTTTAAAAAGGGATTGGGTTTATCTTCAGGTAAGGTTACTATCATTTCTTAGTGCTGTATATACGGCCAGTGTTTGTCTCTTCCCTAGTAGGAACCACATAATGTACATAATGTACAATAATGTACAGTTAATAGCTCTCCCCTGTGCACCTTTCCAGTTAGTTATAAATTGATCATGAACCTGTCATGTTATCTGTCTACTGAAGTCTTTGATGACTCTGTAAAACTCATGTATGGGCAGGGCAACACGGAAGTGAGTCATTTAAGAGGACCAGTAGAATTTTCTAGTTTATGTAATGAATTATAAACAGTACAACAATGCAGTGCAGGGGCCCATCGGGCACGCTGGGCACATTCCCCTGCATCTAGTAAAACAATGCAGTGCAGGGGCCCATCGGGCACGCTGGGCACATTCCCCTGCATCTAGTAAAACAATGCAGTGCAGGGACCCATCGGGCACGCTGGGCACATTCCCTTGCATCTAGTGCCGTGTGCCCCAGGTACCAATGCCACCATCAAACACCACTTTTTCTATTCCGCCACCTATCAGATCTGCAGCATGCAGCCAAAATGTGCTGAAACTTCTCTTCAGCACTATGTTGCAGATCTGACAGGTGGCAGACAGAGACCAAAAAGGCATCTTAGTGTGTCTATCCACACTCCAAACTCTCCCTGGCATGCAATGAGATCATGCATGGTGGTACACTGAGCCTGTGAAGGGGATTGTGAGGGTGGTAGATTTAAAATGGCTGCTTGCTGCTGGACTCTGAAAGGGGTTATGTGGGCACTAAGCACCAGCAACAGGTTAAGAATTACAGATTGCAACTTTGCTCAGATGCTGGCTGCTTGTATGTTGCCTGACCTTGGGGGACATCAGGCTTGATGACAGAACTCAAGCCCTGGGGGAGTCCACAATTGGTGAGTGAACTGTAAACACATTCTTTACTCTAAGCCAGGGGTCTTCAAACTTTCTGAACAAAGGGCCAGTTTATTGTCCTTCAGACCTTCAGGGGGCCCAGACTGTGGCCAGTGGGAGTAGAAAATCCCTTGCCATCATTGAGAGTAAAAAATGCCCCATCATTGGTGTCAGTGGGAGCAATAGTGCCTAGGGTTGCCACCTCATCCCTTTAAAACTGAACACATATTATCGACACAAGTTCTGTTGCTGATTAAGGTGGAAGTTAAACTCACTTAGTGCCTTATCTGCATTAAATTAGCTTCAGAACCTGTGTAATTAATATGTGTTTGGTTTTAAAAGAATGGGGCCCTAGAAGTGCCCCATCATTGATGTCAGTGGGAGGAATAGTGCCCCATCATTGGTGTCAGTGGGAAGATTAGTATCTTATTGTTGGGGGTCAGTGGTAGGAATAGTGCCCAATTGTTGGCATCAGTGACAGGAATCATGCTCCATTGTTGATGTTGAAGGAATAGTTCCTTGTATCAGTGGGAAAACTAGTGTCCCAAGGGCCTAACAAAAGCAAGAAAAGGGCCACATCAGTCCCCTGGACCGCAGTTTGGAGACCACTGCTCTAAATTCTCCCCCTTCTATCTCCTATCTGCTCACTTTTCTCACTCTCCCTTTCTCTCTACACCCTCATTTTTGCCCGCTTTCTCCCTTTATCTCTTCTCCCTCTCCCTCTTACCCCTCCCCTGCTCTCTCTCTCCACCCTTTCTCATCCCCTTTATTTCTTACCCCCCTCCTCTCTCATCCTCCTTTTTCTCTCTCCCCTGCTTCTCTTTCCACCTCTCTCTCTCCTATCTCCCTCTATGAAGTCCTGACCAAAGTGTTCTTTGTCTCAACAGCTGCTGTTTAAGAACTTTTCTTCGTTAAGGTAGGCTCATACAAAGTGATAGCTGTTTGTGTGCAGAAAAGCTTATGTAATGGAAGAGTTCATTTTCTTCAACAATGATAACGTGTACTTAGGTTTATATGTGTATGTGAGACTGTCACATTAACAGAGTAATTAGGAGTATTTAGTGGCTACAAGGATAGTGGTATATGTGTGCTTTGATGGCCTGTGTTACTTACTCTTGACCTCTGCATGTTGTGCATCACTTATTCCTGACCCCTGTGCTCTGTTCAGTATTTACTGCTGACCCCTGCACGCCATGCATTACCTACTCCTGAACCGTATGCATTACTTACCCTGACCCTTGCATTCTGTGTTATAGTTATATATATAAGGTGCATTGCTGGAGATGTTGAGTGGAAGGATGCACAAATCCAAAGGCAGGCTGTACAGCGGGGTCCTTCTGCAAACTCCAGCAGGGGCTGTATATAATCTTTCTGAGTCCAAGAGGGTTGCCCAACTCTAGGAAGAACCCTCTTTTCAATCAGATACAGGCTCCCTCAAGATAGCCACCAGGAGCCCAGTGCAAAGGACAAAGTTGTTCTCTGCAAGATTCCCTTAGCACTAAATGTAACCAGCGATCGTGTGACCGCTGTGTTTACTTCTGGCGGCAAATTTAGAAGTAAGTATTTGTGTGCCATTTGTTCAAATAGCGGCAGGTGGCAGTGTGCCACCCCCTCACATGTGTCCCTACGGCCAGCAGCCTGTAAAAAATGCAATGCTGCAGCTGGACAGGGCTGGACAGTGCACTGAATGGTGGTAACATTTAGAGTACTATGTGCTCAGAGTCAAATATCCCCAAACGTAGACTATTTGTTTTTAAAGCTGAAATGTGGGCGAACACTATTAATGTATAGTTGCACAGTAAAAATATGTTACCTCTAATAAACTGTGCCCCTCTCTGCCCACGGAAGTTTTAAACATTTTACTTTTCTTCGGTCCGCAATTCCCTGTTGGCACCAACTCTCTTGGCACATCCTCCACTCAGAAAAAGCCTTGCATTCTTTTTACAGAAAGCAAAATGTTCTGTGAAATTGAGAAGGTATGGATCATTGTCATATTATCCTACTCCAAGGACAGAACTCCTAGCATTCTGTGAAAGCCTGGAGGTGTCATTTTTATTGCTGCTTCACTGGTAAGTCACGGACTAAGCCACAGACTAATTATGCAGTCAGTGAAGTCCAGGCTCCTGATCTAAATGCTTATTCCAATGCAGATGGTGTTTAGGGCCTGATCGCACTATTTAGCTTTAATGTGCAACAATGCAATGCATGGTAGATTGTGTGTATATATGCACTACACTTTGTTGCCATTCATTTAGGATGGCACCTGAAAGCAGTACAGTAAGAGAAAAATGTGCCTATGCTAAAGCATGCCACAAAGTACAGATGTGAATGTCCTGCACCTTTTGATGCACTGTGTTATCACAAATAGTGTTGGTCTGTTTTCCCTGCACTGAGAGGAGAGACAGTCGCTGGGATTTCAAATCCCCAGACCTGTGAGGCGACTTTCTCTCATCTCCTTGCAGGGATGACAGTATGGGCTAGACAGCTTCTGATTGGTCAGTGCTGGCCAATCAAAAGCCAGCTAGCCCTTACTGTCATCCCTGCACTGAAAGGAGAGACAGCTGCGGGGTTTTCAAATCCCCAGACCTGTGAAGCAACTTTCTGTCCTCTCCATGCAGGGATGACAGCACAGGCTAGACAGCTTCTGATTGGTCAATGCTGGCCAATTAAAAGCCATCTAGTCACGTACTGTCATCCCTGCACTGAGAGGAGAGACAGCCGTGGGGATTTCAAATCCCCAGACCAGTGAAGCTGATTTCTCTCCTCTCTTTGCAGGGATGACAGTATGGGCTAGATGGCTTCTAAATGGTCTGTGCTGACCAATCAAAATCCATCTAGCCTGTACTGTCATCCCTGCACTGGGAGAGACAGCCATAGGGATTTCAAATGCCCATTTTTTTCTTCTGTGACAGCATGGGATCGGTGCAAGGAAGTTTCCCTCACCGCTCCTGTGTGAACTCAGACTATGACAAGCCTGGGTTCACACAGGAGCAGTGGACAAACTGCATGCAAATTGGACAGGAATTGCATTCCTGTTCAAATTGCATTCTATTCTTTGTGGTGCAACTTGCATCCATACAGTTTGTATTGAAGCAAATTGCACTGCAAGTATCGGTACTTGGTATCAGGGAGTACATGACCAAAAGTACAGTACTTGTATTTGCCGATCAAAATAGTACACAGGTTCTGTGGCTGATTAAGGTGATAGTTAAACTCACTTAGTGCCTTAACTGCATTAAATTAGCCCCAGAACCTGTGTAGTTAATATGTGTTTTGTTTTAAAGGGATGAGGTGGCAACCCTAGTATCAGTGCATCCCTATTAGGTACCACTTTATAAATTTGACAAGCCAATCTTTAAAGCATGGAAAAGTACATGTTAACACAATGAAAAAGTGTGAAGAGACTCCTATACATCCAGGTGTGTTCATTAAAAAAATTAAAGTGCTTGTAAACCCTAAAGCTGCTTTCACACTGAGGAGTTTCTGAAGCACTTTTGCGTTAAAAAAAAACACAAGAAAAGTTGAACAAAAATGCTTCCCTAT